TTCAAAGTGCTGTCCTTGCATTTCGACGCACAACTGCGCACGACGAATCCAATTTAACGATAATCGTGGAAATCGTGGACGTATGTCCTCTGTAGCGGCAGTGATGCGATGTCGTAGTTCGTCGATTGTATTAACCTCGGTGGCATATACTCTATCCTTCATGAATCCCCATAAAAAAAAGTCCAATGGGTTAAGATCGGGACTACGTGGTGGCTATGGAATAGGTCCACCTCGACCAATCCATTTTTGCCGAAAAGCATTATCGAGGAAATCTCGTACATTACGACTAAAATGTGCAGGACAACCGTCGTGCATAAATCACATCTCACGTCGCATAAGTAGCGGAATATCTTCCAGGAGTACTGGCAGATTTTCTTGTAAAAATTGTAAATAAGAAGTTCCATTAAGAGTTCCTGGTAATTCGAAAGGTCCTATTAACGTATTGTTCACAATTCCCGCCCATAGATTCACTCTGAATCGTTGTTAAAAAGAGCCTTGACGAATAACGTGTGGATTTTCGTCCGACCACACATGGGAATTGTGAACATTTAGAACACCATTTCTAGTAAAACAGCATTCATCCGTTCCAGTATACTGTCCGCAAAATCTGCTTCTCTGTTGGTACGATTTAGTAGCCACTCGCAAAATTACAACCGCAAAGGATAGTCAGTGGGAGTCAGTCCTTGCACTTTTTGAAAATGATAGGGGTGTAAACCGTTACTTTTCAACGTACGCCGAACAAAATTCTGGGATACCTCGAGTTGGTAAGAAATTTGACGAGTACTCGTGCTTCGATCCGCTTCCACAATTTCTAGAATTTCTTCTTCCACATTCACTCCATGTCTGATTAGTCTACCGCCACCAAGACCTTTCTTAGGTTGCAAATTTCCTGTCTCTCTTCCCCGCTGGATTAACCGAAGAAAAGTGTTTTCAGAAGGGATCTGTCGATTTGGATATCGTTCTAAACACAGACGTCTTGCGTGTGCAGCGTTTTCTCCAGCAGCTCCATAAATAATAAGCATATCTACGTATTCTTCGTTACTGTACATTACCATTGTATTTTTTGATTAGTAAAAATTCAAATTTTGACGTTAAATGACATTGATTATTAAAATTAAATGACATGTCCGTTGCTAGGTAACCAAGTCAACTGGATTGACAGCAATAAAAACATGGTATCAGCGGTTCTCAAAAAACAAACACCAGTTTTTGAGTGATTTAACAAATTTTTAAATAACCGTAACTGCCATATTACAAAGATTTTATTATTGGTGCTAATCAGGCATTGCTTAAGTAACCCCGAAATATTCGCAGTTTGAATTTAAACGTAGTGTAATACCGTATATCGTAAGAAATGCTGGGCAATTAATTCAACTTTAGTGCTCTATATCTTTGTGATTATTACGTTGTAGTAAAAACATTATTAAGAAAATATCTTCAGTTTGGCCCCTAGTACTTGCTCTTTTAATCTGCTCCGTATGTTATAAATCACCCTGTATAGGCAACCATACTGCGCATTACGTCATTGGCGTCAAATACCGGGAAATAATTCAAATTTTTAAAATAGTGTAATTGAATTACTTTAATATATTAGTGTGATATATAATTAACTGCGGTAGTAAAACGGAAAATAATTCAACTTAATTTTTGATATAAATTCACTTATAGTCAAAATTCAATAATTGCGACAAGCCTGATTCTATGTGTCAAAAAAAGTTACTTTTTAACCCTTTGTGTCCCGACGGTACTTTAAAATACCGGTACATTTTTTTTCTCAATATTTTTCCAATCCAACCCAACAATTATTACACATAATTTTAAAGAAAAAGCTTTGAGCTTTAATTTAGAACAAGTCTCATTTCTTAATTTCAATAAATACGGCTTCCAGGAATTTTTAAATTAGCTTCTTTTTTGACAGTTTTAGNTGAATTAGCATCTTTTTTGACACTTAGATTATGCGAAAATGTTAGTTTTTGCTCAATATATTTTTTCTCAATATTCTATCAGATTTTCGTTGTTCTGTAGCTACAGGTCTGATAAATAAATATTCAAATTAACACAATATACACAAAAGAAAGAGGAAGTGCAATGCTTGTGGTACTCTCAAGTACCATTATCCCTCTGGAATGGGGAGATTGCATATTTTGCTAAAATTGATTCCAAAGGCCTTTACTGAGTGTTTTTTGATGCCGTTTTAATTCTGTCACAAAGTTTTAAAATTTTTTACTTCTTGGGACACAAAGGGTTAACTAATATTGCTTTTATCGAATTGATTATTAAATTTAAATACAAGGTGCAATTTACTGACGTTAAATGCACGTATAACATAGAAAGAGATCTTCTATTTAATTTTTATTGAGTTTATTAAAATATTACAATGAAAAATCATATCTTTTATTAAGCTACAATAATATGTATCTTGATGACTCGCTACGCTCGTGACATAAACTTAACCTTAGTAAATAATAGCTCATTATATGTGAGTAGATTACTACACTTGTCCACGACTATTATTGAAATTAATTCCATAAATTTATTTTTTTAAATAAATTTTTGAATAAAGTTTAAACGTCAATGTGACACAAATTCAATGTTACCAACTGTAACCAACTTCATAACAATTTGTCAAAATTTAATGTCAATTTTACGAAACATCGTTTTTTTTACGAAAATTAATTAATTTATGCTTAAATCATACGAAAATAGTTATTTTTGATACAAGATAGCGAAATGACACTTTTGTATTCGAGAACGAACAAAAAAATCGTTCGAGAATGCAAAAGAATTTTGCTGTCGTGTATTAAACAACATTTTTTCGAAAACTGTGTGTTTATAAATTAATAAAATGACCAAATTCTGTATAATGATATTTAGAATTCATTTAATGTTATGTCAAACACTTAATCATCGACTTAACCTCACATATTGAACAAATGTACTGTTATAAATTTGCATTTAAACATGAAATGAAATGATAAAATAATAAAATGTTGATTATTTTGTGTTTATAATTTGTTCATATATATAAATTAACAATTAATAATATCAAATTCTTTAATTGTCGTAGCTGGACGTAAAAGTCTTATGCGTCCTGTATTAGGTCCTTTATTATTAGTCTATCAAGTTGATTACCCGTGAATAATAATTATTCACTCTACGAAAAATGACTACCCCTGTGTTTTAGAAAACTCATTTATAAGGTATATATTATAAAGTAGTCGTGGACAAATTTATTTTTTTAAATACATTTTTGAATAAAGTTTAAACGTCAATGTGACACAAACTCAATGTTACCAACTGTAACCAACGTCACAACAACTTGTCAAAATTAAATGTCAATTTTATGAAACGTTTTTTTAAGAAAATTAATTAATTTATGCTTAAATCATATGAAAAAATGAATTTGTTTAGGTTTTTTTAATGTCAAACCTTTAGAAACTACTTAAAAATTGAATTAAATTGACATATTTTGAAATTATGACGTTTTAAATAATTATTATTAGTCTGTCAAGTTGATTACCCGTGAATAATGATTATTCACCGCTATTATTCACTCCGTGTAAATTAACTACCCTTTTATTTTAGAAAACTCATTTATAAGGTATATATTATAAAATAGTCGTGGACAAACTTTATTATTGATTTAAACTGATACATAGTATAGATAACAGTACAAAAAGCAACATGATAAAAATTAATCATTTTCTAATTTTACATAAGATTACTTTTTCTCTTATATTTCTTAATGTTAATATGTCTAGTACGGACAAGTTTCCATTCCCTGTCCAATCTATTAAAGTGTTTGCACTATTTAATACATCATCAATATTGAGCGGTATTGGATCCTCTACTAGTGGCTGTTATTATTGTCTTGAAGAATATCTTCATCACTAATTAAGTTATCCCAACGTTAATTTGCTCCTATAACCCCATCGTATATTTCGTTATCATCCAATACTGTATAAGGCGCCACATTACAATACAATTGCGCTAATGGTATGTTGTCCTCATCATCAAAATCGTCGTCTATCGAATCAGAAGTAGTTGCGAATAGATGTTTCCAACCACTCAGGATAACGGATTGTTTAGTTTCAGTCCATGATTCCGATATTAAAAAGACAACATCTTTCAGTGACAATTTTTGTAATTTGCTGCTAATGTCTAGTGGTCTAGTGTTAGTTCTAGTTTTACACTAGAACTAATACAAGACCTAGAACTAGAATTTCTAAGCGGCCGGCAGCATCTCGAATTTTCCTAGTGTAATTTTTGCTTAAAACTGACCAATAGCAACCTTTCTTTTTGGTGCTTCAATTTGAAAACACCTCCGAATTAAAGAAATAGAGTGTGGTTGTGACATAACATAAAATTAAATTTTTTAGAAACCAATTAATATAGAACCACCTATAAAATTAAAACGACAAAGAAAAAAGGATATCTTTAAATGGCTTAAAACGACTACGGTATCTTTAAAAAGATTCGAAAAATTTTTTTTATCCAATTACATCACCGAGTCCGATGAAGGTGAAATTAAAGAAATCGATTTTTCCTCCGATGATGAAGATTTTGAAGATAATCATGAAGAAGATTTCGAAAATAATCATGAAGAAGATCACGAAAATACTGAAAACACCACCTTTTTAAATGCAACCACCCCAAATACAGAAATTGAGTGCCCAAATTCAGATAATTTAGAAAAATTAGAACAACAAGCCACATTAAAACGTTACCTCGATTGGAATCAATTCATAAAAGATGAACTAAAAAGAAGGAATCAAATTGAATTTGATATCCATGAATACGGAACGAAAATAATCAATAAATTAAGTGAAGAGAAAACCGTTGGGTTTAATAACATCCTTATTAATTCTAATGTTAATTCAGGCGGTGGTGAAATAGCGCGATATTTCGCTGCCGCGCTTCAATTAGTGAATTCAAAAAATGTTCAATTTACAAATTTTGAGTCTGGTCAAGTGGCAAATAATTTCGAATTAATTTTGATTAATCGGGATCGACATCATGAACATTTGGATCAATACAAAAATGCTTCCGATGTTATTATTCAAGAAAAACTTAACAAGATGGGAGAAAAAAGACGTTATAGTGACGATGAGAGAAAAACGTACAAAAAAATTAAAAAGTTAAATTAATTATTTTAATATTTTTTCACCACTGTGATAAAAAAAATATAGATTTTGGAAGTTTAGAGTTTTAATATTTTTTATTTTGCAGTATTATAATATTGTAATAAATATAAAAGACCGTTTTATATTTTATGTATAAATAAATTAATTTGAAATATTTTTTTTTAATCGTTAATTAACCTACATTGAGAAATTAAGAAATTATTTTTGGAATTTTCGATTTTCATTCAACAGAGGTGAGCTTTAAGTCTAGTGTTAGTTCTAGTTTTGCACTAAAACTAACATAGCATCTAGAACTAGAATCAATCAGGTTTAACCGTCTTGAGAGACTAGTTTTGCCCTAGCACTGTCAATAAAACTAGGAGACTACAAAATAAGGGAAAAAAGACTCTATAGTGACTATGAGAGGAAAAACATACAAAACAATTAAAAAGTTTAATTATTTTAATATTTTTTTTGTAATTCGCGACGGTAATGAAAGCTATAACAGTACTCAAACGGGTGCTGTAATGAGATTTTAGTAACATTTTATGAAACCAGTTCAAGTTGGTGACATTGGGTCATAAATTTTTCTAGTTGTCAATGTCACAATGTTTGTCTATGGATGTTTAAAAACGTTCTTAACATCGAATACAAGGTCCACAATGATGAGGACATTGAACTCTGAGCAATTACTCTATTTTTGAAAGGTGTACATGAAACATTTTTGTCAGGTGAATACATTTTGTGTTTTGACAGTTTCTAATTGCAAATTCAAATTTCTATTTTCAAGTGTTACCAACTGCTACATACCTACTCGTTTTTCAACTTGAATTCGTGCATTTCAAACGTGTCTTACGAAACTTGTTTTTTAATATACTGTGCTGTTATTCTTGTGTGATGTTTTATACACAAGTTATTAAACTATAAATTTGGGTTTCTTTAATTTTAAGAGACTCTTATTAAAAACACAGGGTTTCGGGCAAGTTCAGGTTCAAAAAAATATTAATCAGGTTCGACAAAAAAATTCATTTAATTAACACAAAATCAAATTAACTCGTTTTATGAGTAACAAAAAAAATGGTTTTCCTAAATTAACTTTAATAATGCTTATTTACGAGAGATAAATTTTTAAATAAAATGGATAACTGCGGTTATCGACTGAAATATCGATATTAGAGAGAACCACTTTATTATTTGAGAGAGAGAGAGAGTAGGATAAAACCAAGGTTTATATATTAACTTATATATAAACCTTGGGATAAAACTAGTTAGAACCGTTCTTTGAAAATAACAAATGGCCGATGTCTTAAGTTGTCATCAAACTCGTTAAAAACAAAATAGAATTAAATAAATAAACGTTATTCAAGAAAACTAATAAATCTTTACACACAAGTAAGAATTGATCATAAATTATAGGAAACTCTTGTGAGTTGTTCTTTGAGTTTGATTCTTTGAATTTTCTTTTTGTAGGTTATGTTAATAATAAAATAAAATTATCATCCGACTCACTGTGAAAAATAATGGATTGGAGTTCTATGTGGTATCTGGATTATGGATTGTTTCTTGTGTTCGGGGCACTAACTAATTTTCTGGATTGTCTACAGGATTCTTCTTACGGGAAATTGAACTGTTTGTTCTTCGGAAATAGGGTCTTGGATGATCTCGAAGAAGTATCAGTAGTTCTTGGAATAGGTTGTAGGATGATTCTCTTTTTATTTTAATATTGTAAGTTGGTTTGACTTTTTTTTAAAAAATTATCTTAGATTTTTGAGGTTATCTTTTCAAAAATTCTTCTATCTGACGACGTGGATTCCACGCTGGTCCGACGACGACTCTCTCACTCCCTGTTCGCGATCTCCTTATATACCCCGGCACTCCAACTGTTTTTTCCTCGTTTCTGATTGGCCCTTAGCTTCGCGCCCTTTTCAAAATTCAAAATTCTTGCTTCGAAACTAGCGTCATCTCTTGATTTTTCTCGGAATTAACCTTCAAAATTTAATTCTTTTTTCGTTGATTTCTCCCTTATTCCTTTATGAAACGTAATAAAACTTCGTATTCAACGTTGTCTTTTCTTGTTTTTAGACATACATTGGAGTACACGCCAAATTTCAACAATGAGTAAAGTTGTAAAAATTCAAATTTAAATCAAGGATTTCTTCCTCAAAATAACGTTAAAACCTCAAACGATGGGTGAAAAATGTGCTTTATGTGCTGAACTACAATAATTGATACATTTGGAAGTAAACAAAACGGTTTAAGATAAAATTTTCACCAACAAAAAATCTCTGTCACAAATTCTAGGTTATGTTCTCTCGGTGAACTAAGAGAATGTTAAAATTATTACAATACTAATTCACCACTGTGATAAAAAAAATAGTTTTTGAAAGTTCCAATACTTTTATTTTGCAGTATTATAATATTGTAATAAATATAAAAGACCGTTTTATATTTTATATATAAATAAATTAATTTTAAATATTTCTTTTAATCATTAATTAACGTACATTGTGAAATTAAGAAATTGTTTCTGGGATTTTCGATTTCCATTCAACAGGGGTGAGCTCATCAATTCGACGATTCAAAAAAGCCACACGATTACTTAAAGTGTTTACAGTTTCATCCATGTGAGCTTGTCTTCTCCATTGAAGTTGAGGAATAAGAAGTTCAGCTTGAGATACTCTCGATTCCATCGATTTGATTTTTTGGCGAATTGCATCTAAGTAAGCATCTTGTAATAAATTCGCATTGTTTTTAGCCAATGGAACTAAATCAATCAAGAATTTTTTTGTCATTTATTAATAAAAAAGTTTCATTTATTTATTTATTTACCTGTATGGTGTATATTTAAGATCTCCACATAAAATGGACTAAAAGAAATAATAAATTAATAAAAATACAAAGAAATTATCAACAAAAGTTACTTATCAAAATCATTCCCTTTTTGCAAATCCCCCAACGGGATTAAAACACCATCTTTATTCCGAATTTTAATCACTTTCTTTTCACTTAAATCGATTTCTAGTAAGTTTTCGAGTTCTTGTTTTAATTTCGTGTATTCCAAATCTTTATTGAGTTGAATTCGTTTAAATTCAGCGGTAGGATTTTCTAAAAGATTTTTTTTAAGCAACAAGAATAGTAGGAATAAATAAACTTACCTGAAAAATCGAAACGTTTCAAATAAATATAAACATCAACTTTATTAAAAGACATTTTTAATAGAATCAACAGGAAGGAATCAATAAAGCGTAGTGTTTACAATTTACATGAAATTGACATTAAAAACGTCAAATAGTTCCATGGTTTAATAAGAGATGGCGGTCGCAATCGAGGGTGTAAATTTTAATATAATTTGTTTTAATAATTTATTAAAATACATGCTTAATACAATTATTATTTTACTGTGATAATAAATAGAAATATTTATTTTGTATTTAATATAAATTAAAATTGTTAAAATGTAATATAAAATTTTTTTTGTTGGTTATTATGACTGAGTTGTCAAAAAATTATAACCTAAATGTCATGTTAATCGACGATTTAACGGCCCTGTGGTAAGTTTTTAAACTTTTAAAAATACTTTTTGATGCTAAAGTACAGGAAATTAAAAGAATCAAAAAACGTAGACATAATAGACTGGAGGTCAATTCCTGTAGGCCTCTAGTGCCCACAAGAGGGCGTTATCGCCCACAATCCTTAAATTTATTGCTTTAATTGTTATGCATTTGATTACAAGGACGATAGAATTTAACCTGTTACATCCTTTTTATTCTTTTGTACTCTATGTCACACCACCTGCTATCTTACTTGACGTGCAAACATTTTAATAAAGATTATAAGATAGGTTTTATTAACTGGAATTAACTTATTACCAAGAAAAGGAAATTAGATGAGTGATAAATAATAAATCAAGAAGTTTAATAAAAACGTTTTTATTTATTGACTTAGGATAATTATTGTGCATTAATTAAAACATTGATATGAATACATTATACAAATAGCGACCTTTCTCGAGGGCGTCAAAAACGTCCTCATAATAGAAAATATAAATACCGGCGGCTAATTGTTATTTTTTTTTTTTAATAATTATTTTTAAATTTGTTGTTTTGGATCGGTGCAATTAGTTACTTTTTCTTTTATATATATACAAAACGCGTGCTTTTTTGAACGTTATTAAGTATTACAATAATTTAATAATACGAATAGAATAAATTTAAGTTTTATGGTGTTCACGAATCATGTTTCATCCTTTTTTTTAATAAATAGGTAATGATCTAAGTACTTGGTAATAACTATGAGTGTTTTTTATAATAATCTACGTTGGCACTAATTTTGTTTTGGCTTTTTTAATTTTCTTTAAAGGCTCTACTTTTCTTTCCTTACTAAAAGTAATCTACTTTTTTAAAGCATTAAACGGAAATTCATTTTTCATTTCATTTTTTGTTATTTTTTTGGCACTCGCCGCTTAATTTGGTTAACAATAATTTGGCAATGAGTTAAAAATAGACATTATTATTTTTTACTTGTTAATGGGCGGATTTTTAATCTATTCTATTTTTTTTTATATAGTTAATTAATTATTTACATGTTTTTTTTTTTGGTATTTCATTTGGATTGAGTTTATTTACGCATAACAAATCAGATTGTTTTCTTTTGGCGTTATGTTCAAATATGTTTTAATCCTTTTAACAAGTTTAAATTGGCACTAGCAATTTTAGTTTTTTACCTTTCAACCTCGAATCGTATCATTTTGTAATCACAACACCGGTTACATTTTTGTTGTATTTTAATCAAAATTAACGCTGTTTTTCGAATAATTTCGATTTAACCATTTTGTTATTAACAACCTCCTTTAATAAACCCCACAATTCATCTTTATCCAATAAGATATATTTATCGTTTTTGTTTTCCGGGGGGAAACCAATTCCTATGTTAGAATCATCGTTAGAATCAATTTTTTCTTTTAATTTACCAGGAACTTCGTGAATTTTTGTGTTGATGTGTCTCGGGGGCGAAACGTTCATATTAACAACTAATTCTTTTTGTTTCTCTTGGTCTAATCCCGTTTTTAGATCCTTTTTTAAATCGACATCAATTTTAGTTAGTTTTTTTATTATCTTCTTTTTATCTTTTTTCTTAACGATATTTTTGAAACAATCCGAGTCTTCTTTTAATTCGTTTTGAGCACGCTTTTCCCCCCCGAACCAAGTTACAACATCATCGTCGGTGATTCCCTTCATTAAAGTGCTTTTATTCGCCGCGTGAAAAAACATTTCAACGCCTAAATCCTCCCTTACCACCGGAAATATTCTGGCATAAGCCGGCCTTAAAGAGGATATCACAAACGAGCTTTTCGCTAAGTATTGGACGCAAATTGGACATGTTCCGGTGACGTTAGCAAAAACGAACCAAATTTGATTATCGTACGAACCGTGTTCCATCTCGATTTTAGCACTTCCTTTAAGTGGCCCGAAAATCGTCGGGGGAGGTGAAGAGGATAATTCGAAACCCGAAAATAAATTGATTTCGAGGCGCAAAATTCCCGATGGTTCTCTATTTTTCCATTTAAAGCACGTTTTTAATTTTAACATGGGTAATTTTCCTTCGATTTCATCTACGGAGCTTCTTTCCGGGTTTATTTCTTCGATTACGCTCGAATAAAGATTTAAATGCTTCGAATTGGATTGAGTTGAGTATGTTGAATAAGTCGTTCTTCCCTAAAAATTAATGCATTCAGCGATTTGACGTTTTTAAAGAATAAAATGAGTTTGTTAACATTAAAGCTAGAACTAGAAACATTCGGGTTTAGCCGGCACGTCTCTCAAGACGGCTAAAGCCGAATGATTCTAGTTCTACGTCTAGCAACAGTGCCAGTGTAAAACTAGAACTAACACTATACCTAGAACTAGAATCATTTGGGTTTAGCCGCACGTCTCTAAAGACGGCTAAACCCAAATGATTCTAGTTCTAGGTATAGTGTTACTTCTATTGAAAGAGCTAGTGTAAAACTAGAACTAACACAAGATCTAGAACTAAAAAGTTATTGTTATTTTTGACGTTTAACTGTCAAAATTGACGTTTCTTAATTTTTCCAGAACAGTTTGATTGAATTAAATTTAATACTTTAATATTAGGTGTCACTTTTGACGTTTAATTGTCAACGTTGAAGGTTAATATACATATTTGTGACATTTGAAGCGTAAATTTTAATGTATGGGTTAATTTTAAAGTATAATATGAAATATAATTCATTAAGCGATCATTTTAAACGTTTTTGAGACAAAATTGAAGCTTTAAAATCAAGATTAAATCACGAACTTCATGTTGAAATTGTCATTTTTGATGTTTAAGTTTCCAGTTTGTAATAAAAATGTAATTTTTGACGTTTAACTATCAAAATTGACGTTTTTTGATTGAATTAAATTTAATACTTTAATATTAGCTGTCACTTTTGACGTTTAATTGTCAACGTTGAAGGTTAATTTACATATTTGTGACATTTGAAGCGTAAATTTTAATGTATGGGTTAATTTTGAAGTATAATATGAAATATAATTCATTAAGCGATCATTTTTAACGTTTTTGAGACAAAATTAAAACTTTAAAATCAAGATTAAATCAATAACTTCATATTGAAAATGTCATTTTTGACGTTTAACTGTCAAAATTGACGTTTCTTAATTTTGCTAGATGAATGACGTGATAGAATGTTAAGTAAGGTTTTCTTTTGAAATGTCAATACTACTCGCTTATCCCAGCTTAGAGTTGATTAGTTTAATTAAATAGTAAATTAAATGAGTGCTTTAATCGGGGTCAAGGGATTAAATAGGGAAACTTTAATTTCTACAATTAATTGTTACCTGAACTGTTGCGCAACCCCCTCCTGTTGCATAAACGAAAACTTTCGTTGGTAAACTCGGCAAGTGTCTTATTTGTTCGGGTTTTTCCCCTTTTATATCTAAAGTGTCCGTTAATTCCATTCCGGAAGTGGCTAAAGAAATGGTTAAAACTCTATGTTTATCGTTCGATAACGAGTCGTATAAACCAATCGCTTTGGCAGCCGAATACAATAACTCGGGGTGTTTATCCAACATGTGAGATCGATAAAAAAGATACCTCGTAACAGATTCGGCGAATTTAACATCGCCGATGACGCAAAACGTAGCCAAAGCGTAAATAGAAGCTTCGTAATCCTCCAACGTAGCAATTAACGGCGATTCTTTCATCGCTTTTCCCGATTCTGATTCATAAAGCCAATTGGCCGCGTCTCGTTTTGGTAGTAAAAACGGCCAGCCGAATTCGTTATCTTCCGTTGTCGATGCGTTCCGTAATTTTTCGATTGCCCACGTTGATGTGGCACTCCGCATTAAAACTAAAGCGAAGGTAACCGTTGCTATAGCAGCGTTCGATTTGATGTTAGGGAGCGAATTTTCCAAGAAAATCTTCGCCTTTTGTAAACTATCGGAGTCTTCGTCACTTTCAATTCCAATTTCTAATAAAATGATGACCGTGCGAGCGGTTATTTGGACGATTTCGCGAAACGATTCGTTATTTTTCGTTTCATTCCCATCCATTATCTTCGATAAATTTATATCGGCCGGTAAAGGTAAGAAACTTCCGTTATCCTCTTGCCGTAATTGAATCCACTTTTTAATCCCTTGCAATAAATCGGGATCGATGTTAAAAAATCTTCTCACGACCAATAAAATTTCTAAAACGGAAACGGTCGTTTTATGACTTGAAAGCATTCGATGTTCGCTAAAAGAATTATCCGGTTTGCGATACGATAAAATATTTTGGACTTCCCCGGGAATTTTCTTTAAAATTTCATCTTTAAACGTTTGATTTTTTAATTTTAGTTGATCCAAACAAATTAATCCGGTCAATGATGCGATCGACGACGATAAATCGCCGGTTTTTTGTAATTTCGGAAATATTTTTAGGGCCAAACCGCTCGAAACGATCAAACGGCCCGATTCGGAACCGGGAACGAGCGATTTCGGAGTCTCCAAATGAAGAACTTGGCTGTAACCGGCTTCATCGTTAAAATTCCACACTCTAAACTCGGCGTGAGTACCCCAATTCGAGGAAAAACCCAAATTCTCCAACTTAATTTTCCGATCTAAATTAATCGATAATAAAGTGTTGTTATTATTGTTCGGAATTGAACCAGAACCGAATTTTAATATGTTTTTATCCCAACTTAACCAAAACGTTCTCCATTCATCCCTCGATAAAATCCCTTTCGTTTTTTTCCTTTGCAATTGGATTGAATAATCTAAAATAAACATTATTATTTAAGTTAAATTGAATTAATTTTGTTAATTAACCGTGTTTTCCTCTTGATATATAACTTTCCGTGTTCCCAACATCACCGATGGTTATTTTATAACTTTTATCGTTAACGTTTCTTCCTTCCGATAAAATAAGATGTACCGGTCCTTGCTTTCGATCAATTTTCACTTCGACGACGACGTTTTCCCGATTTCTCGGCGCCTTAATCCACTCGTATTTAAAATTATCTTTGTTTGAAATGATTATGTTTTCGTTTGCGCAAAAATACGCGCTTTCAGTGTCGACGCGAACCGTTCCTTCGTGTAACACCTTAATTGTCGATGATTTTACAACGGCTCCGACTAAAGTTGTGTTTGCTAAACCTTCATCTGTACCTTCGCAAGTTGGTGAACTATAACCGTTTACTTCAACTAAAAATTAATAAATTTAAAGAGATTACATTTTAATACATCTGTCCCAAATTATGGTATACATTTCTCTTTACAATTTGTCCCAAATTATGGTATACAAAACTTTGAAAACTGCTTTATTCTATTCAGCTGTTTCAGTGGCAGTTTGGTTGCACATAATTTATTCATGAATTTTCGTAAATTTCTCGATATCTATGCGTTTGAGAGCAAAAGCGCAAGAAAGCAATTTTGTTAAGAATACAGTTTGCTACAACTTTCCTTCGAAAAGTTTTTCTGTAGGATACTCAGATTCAAATTTATTCAATTCATAGTTGTTGCCTCCTGAGGCCATCATGGTTGATTCCACGCTCTTTTGTAGTGTCAAGATCACGTTATCTAATTTTTCTTTAGTTAATGCGTCGAAGGTACTTTTAACACAATTCATTCATGGTTTTTGGCGATGTTTGCTGGCAATTTTGATATTTTGAGGATTCCTGGCCTGAACCTAAGAAATGGTGATATTTATGGTAGCATTGGTTATGAATTATCTTATCTTGATTCATTATCATCAATTTTTATAGGAAACGTTTTTCTCTATCACCTTTAATTTTCTACTTATAACAAAATTTAACGCAGATGATTGTCAATTTTGATATTTTGAGGTTTCCTGGCTTGAACCTAAGAAATGGTGGTATCTATAGTGGCATTGACTATGGATTATATTAGCTTGATTCATTATTATTAATTTTTATGGGAAACGTTTTTCTCTATCACCTTTAGTTTTCTACTTATAACAGAATTTGACGCAGATGATTGTCAATTTTGATATTTTGAGGATTCCTGGCCTGAACCTAAGAAATGCTGATATCTATGGTGACATTAACTATGGATTATGTTATCTTGATTCATTATCATCAATTTTTAAGGAAAACGTTTTTCCCTATCACCTTTAATTTTCTATTTATAAAAGAATTTAACGCAGATGACTGTCAATTTTGATATTTTGAGGATTCCTGGCTTGAACCTAAGAAATGGTGATATCTATGGTGGCATTGACTATGTATTATAGTATCTTGATTCATTATCATCAATTTTTAAGGAAAACGTTTTTCCCTATCACCTTTAATTTTCTATTTATAACAGAATTTGACGCAGATGACTGTCAATTTTGATATTTTGAGAATTCCTGGCTTGAACCTAAGAAATGGTGATATCTATGGTGACATTAACAATGAATTATGTTATCTTGATTCATTATAATCAATTTTTAAGGAAAACGTTTTTCCCTATCACCTTTAATTTTCTACTTATAAAAGAATTTAACGCAGATGATTGTCAATTTTCATATTTTGAGGATTCCTGGCTTGAACCTAAGAAATGGTGATATCTATGGTGGCATTGACTATGGATTATGTTATCTTGATTCATTATTATTATTTTTTATGGGAAACGTTTTTCTCTATCACCTTTAGTTTTCTACTTATAAAAGAATTTGAAGCAGATGATTGTCAATTTTGATATTTTGAGGATTCCTGGCCTGAACCTAAGAAATGGTGATATCTATGGTGGCATTAACTATGGATTATGTTATCTTGATTCATTATCATCAATTTTTATAGGAAATGTTTTTCTCTATCACCTTTAATTTTCTACTTATAACAGAATTTAACGCAGATGATTGTTAATTTTGATATTTTGAGGATTCCTGGCTTGAACCTAAGAAATGGTGATATCTATGGTGACATTAACTATGAATTATGTTATCTTGATTCATTATCTATTAATTTTTATGGGAAACGTTTTTCTCTACCACCTTTAATTTTCTACTTATAACAGAATTTGACGCAGAGTATTGTCAATTTTGATATTTTGAGGATTCCTGGCTTAAACCTAAGAAATGGTGATATCTATGGTGGCATTGACTATGGATTATGTTATCTTGATTCATTATTATTAATTTTTATGGGAAACGTTTTTCTCTACCACCTTTAATTTTCTACTTATAACAGAATTTGACGCAGAGTATTGTCAATTTTGATATTTTGAGGATTCCTGGCTTAAACCTAAGAAATGGTGATATCTATGATGGCATTGACTATGGATTATGTTATGTTGATTCATGATTATTAATTTTTATGGGAAACGTTTTTCTCTATCACCTTTAATTTTCTACTTATAACAGAATTTAACGCAGATGATTGTCAATTTTGATATTTTGAGAATTCCTGGCTTGAACCTAAGAAGTGGTGATATCTATGGTGGTATTGGTTATGAATTATGTTACCTTGATCCATTATCATCAATTTTTATAGGAAATGTTTTTCTCTATCACCTTTAATTTTCTACTTATAACAGAATTTAACGCAGATGATTGTCAATTTTGATATTGGATTTACTTGGATCTAATGGCTGGTACAACGTTATCGATAATCATCTTTTTGCATTCTGCTGCGTTAATAGAGTCGATGTTTTTGGTCACCATTGTTCCTCTTGCTCGGTTCTTGCTGTTTCTTTTTTGCAAGTTCTTTATAAACAAAAAGTCAGAGTCCTATTTTGCCGTTGAAATATTGTTTTTTAGCACTGTCATAACGTGATCTGGCCACTACAGCCATAAACATAAGTTTAGTTATGAACCGTTTCCTTTTACAGCGCTTTTCTGGTTCTGCTTCATCTTTACGTCTCTTTAGTACATTTCGTGACAAATATCTCCCATAGTATTGACACAATGGGTGTCTCGTAATTAAATTAAGATGACATTAAATAGATAGAAACTCGTTAATTCTCCAAACTTTCCTTAATCCATAAATTTTAGAGAAATGTATACCATAATTTAAGACAGAGTAATTGTTTATTTACCTGTTAAATTTTTTAATCCAGGGGTTGTTACTAAAAGGCGAACAACTAATGAAGTTGCACCGTTTGGTCCTAAACGTAATCTTTCCGTTACGTATAATAACCCGTTACTTAAAAATTGTGCACCTTCACTTAATGCAAGTAAAGCAGTAACCTAAAATCATAAATTTTACCTCAATATCACCAAAAAAAAATTATTTGCAATGATGTTTCCGTTATTTACTTACATCCATACAAGCATTAATGTTATTCACGATTTTAACATCGACTTCAAGTGTTTCCCGAACTTTTATAGTATTAGGAAGTCGAAATTCAACCTCCAACGGTCTAAAAACATTGACAGTTGTTTGCGGGGAAAATCGAAGTCCCCCCGAATTCGATACAGTCAAAGCCCAAACGGACCATTTCCCCGGTTCTTGAGGCGCTTGAATTGTTAATCCACTCGAAGCGATCGTAGATCTAAAAGAATTACTTTATTATAAGTACTTTATTAAACGATTTTTTTAAATAATTACGTATAATTGAAACACTTCCATAACCATAATTGATCGAAATGAGTTCCCCCGACTAAACTTTCCGGGGGTTTTCTTCGGTTTGATGGCCCGGCGCCGGATCCTCTCTGCCTGTATGATAAAACGCTCAATTTTGAGTCGTTTTTCTTTAAGCATTGACGTTGAAAAAATGATAATCCCGCTTCTAAAAAGTCTACTTCTCCAGTTATCGATGAGGGGTAACGTTCTTCGCTAAATAAGATTGTAATAATTAAAAAAAAACGTTTATTAATAGAACTAACCTTATTCTAGGGTCAAATTTTAAATCATTCCCACTCGATTTCCCCCCTAAAAGGCAAACCAAAGAAGATAACTCAGCAACAACCGGGTCTAAATCAACCGGTTGATTCGGTAACCAATAATCGCGATCTTCAACGTTGACGTAAACCTAAAAAACAAAATTATATATCAAAATCGTAAATCATTACAATTTACAATACATGTGGGATAATAATAATCGAATCACGAAACAAATTCGGTATCAAAATACTGAGAATTTCATATAGCTCGCAATATATGAATGCAGTAAGTAGTTACGAAACTACTATGCATTTACACTGCCCCACACATAATACAACATAGCTTAATAGTAACAGTNGACAGAGTAATTGTTTATTTACCTGTTAAATTTTTTAATCCAGGGGTTGTTACTAAAAGGCGAACAACTAATGAAGTTGCACCGTTTGGTCCTAAACGTAATCTTTCCGTTACGTATAATAACCCGTTACTTAAAAATTGTGCACCTTCACTTAATGCAAGTAAAGCAGTAACCTAAAATCATAAATTTTACCTCAATATCACCAAAAAAAAATTATTTGCAATGATGTTTCCGTTATTTACTTACATCCATACAAGCATTAATGTTATTCACGATTTTAACATCGACTTCAAGTGTTTCCCGAACTTTTATAGTATTAGGAAGTCGAAATTCAACCTCCAACGGTCTAAAAACATTGACAGTTGTTTGCGGGGAAAATCGAAGTCCCCCCGAATTCGATACAGTCAAAGCCCAAACGGACCATTTCCCCGGTTCTTGAGGCGCTTGAATTGTTAATCCACTCGAAGCGATCGTAGATCTAAAAGAATTACTTTATTATAAGTACTTTATTAAACGATTTTTTTAAATAATTACGTATAATTGAAACACTTCCATAACCATAATTGATCGAAATGAGTTCCCCCGACTAAACTTTCCGGGGGTTTTCTTCGGTTTGATGGCCCGGCGCCGGATCCTCTCTGCCTGTATGATAAAACGCTCAATTTTGAGTCGTTTTTCTTTAAGCATTGACGTTGAAAAAATGATAATCCCGCTTCTAAAAAGTCTACTTCTCCAGTTATCGATGAGGGGTAACGTTCTTCGCTAAATAAGATTGTAATAATTAAAAAAAAACGTTTATTAATAGAACTAACCTTATTCTAGGGTCAAATTTTAAATCATTCCCACTCGATTTCCCCCCTAAAAGGCAAACCAAAGAAGATAACTCAGCAACAACCGGGTCTAAATCAACCGGTTGATTCGGTAACCAATAATCGCGATCTTCAACGTTGACGTAAACCTAAAAAACAAAATTATATATCAAAATCGTAAATCATTACAATTTACAATACATGTGGGATAATAATAATCGAATTACGGAACAACGAAACAAATTCGGTAACAAAATACCGAGAATTTCATATAGCTCGCAATATATGAATGCAGTAAGTAGTTATGAAACTACTATAGCTTAATAGTAACAGTACATGCATTGGGTAGTTTTGCAAAGGAAAAGTCTTGCTTGAAAAAAAGTAACATCCTTATCATAACTAGGTCTAGTTATAATTCTAGGTCTAGTGTTAGTTCTAGTTTTACACTAGCACTGTTACTATGTAGAACTAACACTATACCTAGAACTAGAATCATTTGGGTTTAGGCGCACGTCTGTAAAGACGGCTAAATCCGAATGATTCTAGTTCTAGGTATAAAAAATAACTAAATAACAAAAAAATAGTGAAAAATTAAATTTGTTATTTTTTTATGATTACAAAAATATAGGGTTCGACAGGTCTATTCCTTATTGTTTTAGAATAAAGCTAAAAACACTAAAAATTCTTTTTAGTGTCGTCGAAGAAATTAAATTTACAGTTTCCTGTAAATTACGGTACTATAACTAAAAGTTAAAAAACATATATCTCCAATCCAAAACAATGCAATCCATTAAATATTTCCGTATTAACAGTTGGTGTAATAAACATAATTATTTATTTTTAAATACCAGAAAAATAATACCCCGTAATTTAAATACCGCCCCGTAATTTACAGGAAACTGTAAATTTCATTTCTTCGACAACATTAGATTTTGGCGGCGTTTAGAAATTTTATAAAAAAAGTTCATTTTTAGATTTATTCTAAAACAATAAGAAATAGACCTATCGAACCCTATATTTTTGTAATATTTACTACTATTTTTGTACTGCATAACCGCTTTTTCTTCAACGTCTTCTTGTTTTGCAATAGACATCATATTTAGCACATACTCATGATAATTTTCGTTCTTCATTTTTTCCCTATCACCTTTAATTTTCTATTTATAAAAGAATTTAACGCAGATGATTGTCAATTTTGATATTTTGAGGATTCCTGGCCTGAACCTAAGAAATGGTGATATCTATGGTGGCATTGACTATGAATTATATTATCTTGATTCATCATCATTAATTTTTATGGGAAACGTTTTTCTCTATCACCTTCAGTTTTCTACTTATAACAGAATTTGACGCAGATGATTGTCAATTTGATATTTTGAGGATTCCTGGCCTGAACCTAAGAAATGGTGATATCTATGGTGGCATTGACTATGGATTATGTTATCTTGATTCATTATCATTAATTTTTATGGGAAACGTTTTTCTCCATCACCTTTAATTTTCTA